ACTATGAGTACACCTTGGCAAACACTATTCTGTCACCAAGATCACGCCTACACCAGTGGAAGGACACAACTGTGGCAGAAATGTATCTGTTCTTTGCCACAATAATGCTTATGCCACATGTGTATAAGCACAGTGTCAACACATACTGGGCGACAGACCGCCTGATTTCAACCCCTGCTTTCAGTGACATTATACCAGTGAATAGATTTGTGTTACTGTTACGTATGTTACACTTTTCAGACAAAACAAGGCCTGACAGAAGCGACAGGTTATATAAGATCGGACGTGTGTTTATGTACCTGAAACAAAAGTGCTGTATGTATTTTTATCCCTTCAGGAAGCTTGTTATTGATGAGTCTTTGATTTTGTTCAAAGGAAGACTCTCATTCAAACAGTATAAACCAAGCAAGAGGAAACGCTTTGGTATAAAGTTATTTGTTCTGTGTGATTGCAAAACTGGTCTGGTTTTGGATATAATTGTGTACACTGGCGGTACAACATTGGAAGATACCAGAAAGTTACTGGGTATCTCTGGTGATGTGGTTAGAACAATGATGGAGCCATATCTTGGTAAGGGGCATATTTTATATACAGTGGACCCCCACATAACGATGGCATCACATAGCGATTTTTCCGCATACCGATTACTTTTATCGCAAAATTTTTGCCGCGCATACCGATTAAAAACCCGCTCACCGATTTTCGTCCGAGACGCGTCCAATGTGCCCTCAGCCAGCCTCACATGTGCCGCCCGTCCATTGTTTACCAGCCAGCCTCGCGGTAACATCCAAGCATACACTCGGAATATTGTATTATTACAGATTTTTCGGTGCTGTTTCTGGAAAATAAGTGACCATGGGCCCCAAGAAAGCTTCTAGTGCCAAACCCTACACCTCAAAGGGTAAGAATTACTATAGAAATGAAGAAAGAGATAATTGATAAGTATGAAAGTGGAGTGCGTAATAGCCGACCTAGTCAAGCTGTACAAGAAAACCCCAATCAACCATCGCTACTATTGTGGGCACCAGAAAGACAAACAAGGAAGCTGTTCTTGCCAAAGGTTCAACTGTGTTTTCGAAACAAAGATCGCAAGTGATGGAAGATGTTGAGAGACTCTTATTGGTGTGGATAAATGAAAAACAGCTAGCAGGAGATAGCATCTCTCAAGCGATCATATGTGAAAAGGCTAGGAAGTTGCATGAGGATTTAATTAAAAAAATGCCTGCAACTAGTGATGATGTGAGTGAATTTAAGGCCAGCAAAGGTTGGTTTGAGAGATTTAAGAAGCGTATGGCATCCATAGTGTGATAAGGCATGGGGAGGCTGCCAGTTCGGACCACAAAGCGGCTGAAAAATATGTGCAGGAATTCAAGGAGTACATAGAAACTGAAGGACTGAAACCTGAACAAGTGTTTAATTGTGATGAAACAGGCCTGTTCTGGAAGAAAATGCCAAGCAGGACCTACATTACTCAGGAGGAAAAGGCACTCCCAGGACCCTAAGCCTATGAAAGACAGGCTTACTTTGTTTTATGTGTGCCAATGCTACTGGTGATTGCAAAGTGAAGCCTTTATTAGTGTATCACTCTGAAACTCCCAGACGTTCAGGCAAAAGAATGTCCTCAAGGATAATTTGTGTGTTGCTGTGGGGGGCAAACAGTAAGGCATGGGTCACTAGGGAATTTTTCTATTTAACTGGTTACACCATGCATTTGCCCCCAAAAAGTGAAAAATTACCCTAACTGAAAAGAAATTAAGAACTTAAGTGCCTCCTGGTGTTAGACAATGCCCCTGGTCATCCTACAGACGTGGCAGAGCGACTTTATGGGGGCATGAGCTTCATTAAGGTGAAGTTTTTGCCTCCTAATACCACGCCTCTCCTGCCGCCCAAGGACCAGCAGGTTATTTCCAACTTCAAGAAACTGTACACAAAAGCTCTGTTTGAAAGGGGCTTTGTAATGACCTCAGAAACTCAACTGACTCTAAGAGAGTTTTGGAGAGATCACTTTAATATCCTTCAATTGTGTAAACCTTATAGGTAAGGCTTGGAGGAAATGACTAAAAAGGACCTTGAACTCTGCTTGGAAGAAACTGTGGCCAGAATGTGTAGACAAAAGGATTTTGAAGGGTTTGAGGCTAACCCTGAGAATCCCTGTGCCCGTTGAGGAATCCATTGTGGCATTGGGAAAGTCCCTTTGGGGGTTTGGGGGTTAGTGGGAGGATTGGAAGAGTTGGTGGAGGAGGACAATGAAGAACTAACCACTGATGAGCTGATAGATCAACTTCAAGAGCAAGAGGCCAGACCCGGGGAAACTGGTTCAGAGGGGGGGAGAGAGAAATTTGAAGAAGTTGCCTACTACAAAGATAAAGGAAATCTGTGCTAAGTGGCTTGAAGTGCAAACCTTCATGGATGAAAATCACCCTCACACAGCTATTGCAAGCCGTGCTGGTGATTATTACACTGACAATGTTTGTGAACACTTTAGGCAAGTCATAAAGGAACGAGAGGTACAGGCCACTATGGACAGATATCTTGTGCGAAAGAAGTCCAGTGACTCTGAAGCTGGCCCTAGTGGCATTAAAAAAAGAAGGGAAGTAACCCCAGAAAGGACTTTTCTACCTCAAGTCCTAATGGAAGGGGATTCCCCTTCTAACAGTAAGAAGATAATGCTCTCCCCTCCCCCATCCCATCAATCATCACCAATCTTCAATAAAAGTAAGTGTCATGTAATTGTGCATGCCTTTTTCAGTTTGTGTGTATTAAAATTAACATTTCATGTGGTAAAAAAAATTTTTTTTCATACTTTTGGGCGTCTTGCACGGATTAATTTTATTTCCATTATTTCTTATGGGGAAAATTCATTCGCATAACGATTATTTCGCATAACAATTATCCCTCTTGCACGGATTAAAATCGTTAACCGGGGGTCCACTGTACTGACAACTGGTACACAAGCCCTATATTCAGTGATTTCTTGTGAGTGAACATGACAGATGTGTGTGGCACAGTGCATGGATATCGTAAACATATGCCTAGGTTCGATGCTGGCAGTCGTAGAGGTGAAGTGTAGGTGTTTGCTGCCAATGACATCATGGCATTTCGGTGGCATGACAAACGTGATGTCACACTGCTGACATCAGTTCATCGACACGAAATGGTAGACACTGGCAAACAGGATAGAGAGACCAATGAACCCATTGTAAAACCTGCAGCTGTGATGGATTACAACCTCAATATGCGCTTAGTGGACAAATGTGACATGCGGATTGGGTTTGCTGACTTGGCAAGAGTTATAAGTAGTACATAAAACTGTTTTTCTATCTTCTTGACATTTCCATGCTGAATGCTTATAATATGTATAAGTTGAAGACCAACAAGAAACCCAAATATGGTGAATTTTGTTTGTCAGTCATTAGACAAATAATATTCAAGTACCAAGGAACAACATCTGCAATAGACCAGCGCCCACGAAATCATCAACACATGTCCTCTCGTCTGAGGCCTGGTGATCACTACCCCATACCACTGCCTGCTACTACTGCTTAGAAAAATGCTCAGAAGAGGTGTTTTGTCTGTGGACATACCACAAAACGCCCACAAAAATGCAGACACACTTGTTTTATGTGTGAGGAGTGTAAGACACCATTGTGCTTATACCCATGTTTCAAAGAATTCCACAAGCTGCAGCAGTTCTAGAAAAGTGTCCAGTGATTGTACATCTGTATATATATTATAGAACAATCGTAATAAACATTTGTTTACATTGTTTGTTTGTGTAAACAAGTTTTAGCAACATAATGATACGAGTGTTTTTGCTGTAATTGTGTTACATTCAACGAGTGTATACATGTAATTGAACATTGCACAATAATTTGGTCTCACAGGCCACAAAAGTTATGTGAAAAAATAAAATAGTGAAAAAAACAAGAAACCATCGAATACAAGTAAATCAAAGTTTACCGGGTGAGCGGCAGTTGCCGCTGTTGCTGTTCGCAGATCAATTTCAGCAAATTTCAGGGCTCTATATCTCGGTAAGTACTGATGGGAATTTTTTTTTTTTGGACTAAAACAATCAGAAAAATAATCTTAACATTTTCATAAGAAATTTTTTTTTTTTTTTCGAATATTTTGCGACACCAGGAGACACTTCAGGATTGGGCCTTTCGACAGTCAAAGGGTTAATAATAATTGTTTCAGACTTATTTTATAGAGGGAAAGAAGCAAAATAGTTAATTGTTTAAAAAATTTAGCTGGAACAAAGATAGTCTTAAACAAGGCACAAGCCAAGTTCTGCAGGAGGTCAGGTTGTGATGGCTATGTTAACTTTTGGGTTATGGGCAACAATAGCTTGGTTGGTCAGGCAGTCCCCAAGGAAGCCTAATATCAGGCCTGGCTCTTGAAACCAGTCATAGGTATGTCATACACTTCTTTCTGTCTTTCTTTCAACACACTGGCCGTATCCCACTGAGGCGGGGTGGCCCAAAAGAAAAAAGCAAAAGTTTCTCCTTTTACATTTAGTAATATATACAGGAGAAGGGGTTACTAGCCCCTTGCTCCCGGCATTTTAGTCACCTCTTACAACACGCATGGCTTACGGAGGAAGAATTCTGTTCCACTTCCCCATGGAGATAAGAGGAAATAAACAAGAACAAGAACTAGAAAGAAAATAGAAGAAATCCCAGGGGGTGTGTGTATATATATATGCTTGTACATGTATGTGTAGTGTGACCTAAGTGCAAGTAGAAGTAGCAAAACGTACCTGAAATCATGCATGTTTATGAGACAGACAAAAGACACCAGCAATCCTACCATCATGTAAAACAATTACAGGTTTTCGTTGTACACTCACTTGGCAGGACGGTAGTACCTCCCTGGACGGTTGCTGTTTATCAACCTACTACCTAGGTATGTCATACACATTACAGGTAAAAAAAAAAATAGAGAAAAACAAGTTTAGCAATAATTATGTACATTACTGAGTGAATACATGATTATTTCAGGAACTGTATAAAAGCCCTTTGGCTTGGGTAAACACAGCTGTTTTTGACTACAGAAATCAGTTAAAGACAGGAGCTATGTCTTTGTATGCTTGGAAGATATGTGAGGATCAGACTGGAGATGTTATGCCCAACCCCTTGGGTACATTAGTCAGTAATCCTAACCACGATCAAGCAGTCACTCTTACCATCACTTTTCCTCGCTTCAATTCGACCTCTAATATTATGTTCCCATCTAAGGATAAAATTATCTCTACTGCTAAGGAAAATCCACAGTGCGATGAGGTAAGGCTTTGTGTACTTTATATTGGCACACACAACATTAATTTATGGTTTATTTACAGTTTGTTATCCACAACAAATTCATTTTCTTATTAATTAACCCTCTTCTGTATTTCCTCTTGTCATGTCTTTAATTTTTATTTTACAAAGAGCAGCTGTGCATGATACAAAAAATGGAAGTGCTTGCACAGGACAAAGTTCTGTGAAGTGGATGAAACATATGGTTACTGTACTCACCTAATTGTGGTTGCAGGGGTTGAGTCATAGCTGTGTGTCTGTATGTAGTTAGTATTACATTTGTAGATAAGCTTGATGTCACTCTAAACATATTTTGTATTTATAATTAAATTAAGAACTTAGAAACAGAGTAAATCCTTGTTGCTTTTGATTATATATTATATGGAAACACAACTGGCAGCATCTTATGCTCATCTTGTGGGCAATAAGACATTGGTTTCAAAGCAACATAGACAGCTAGGGACTAGGAGCTAAAAAAAAAAATAATTGGCAATGCACAAATAACCACTGGTCTCCATTCTGATTATTATAATTATTATTATTTTTATCATTATTTTTATAATTATTATTATTTATTATTATAATTATTATTATTATTATTATAACACTTTATTCATGTACAGCAGAGGATGCATGAGCATTAACAACTTAACACATTTTTTTTTTTTTTTCAACAAGTCGGCTGTCTCCCACCGAGGCACTGTGACCCAAAAAAGAAAGAAAATCCCCAAAAAGAAAATACTTTCATCATCATTCAACACTTTCACCACACTCACACATTATCACTGTTTTTGCAGAGGTGCTCAGAATACAACAGTTTAGAAGCATATACGTATAAAGATACACAACATATCCCTCCAAACTGCCAATATCCCAAACCCCTCCTTTAAAGTGCAGGCAATGTACTTCCCATTTCCATGACTCAAGTCCGACTAGGGATTGGCAGAGAGCATGCATAGTTCCTTGGTATAAAGGCAAAGGGGATAAAAGAGAGTGCAAAAATTATAGGGGGATAAGTCTGCTGAGTATACCTGGTAAAGTGTATGGTAGAGTTATTATTGAAAGAATTAAGAGTAAGACGGAGAATAGGATAGCAGATGAACAAGGAGGCTTTAGGAAAGGTAGGGGGTTTGTGGACCAGGTGTTTACAGTGAAACATATAAGTGAACAGTATTTAGATAAGGCTAAAGAGGTCTTTGTGGCATTTATGGATTTGGAAAAGGCTTTATGACAGGGTGGATAGGGGGGCAATGTGGCAGATGTTGCAAGTGTATGGTGTAGGAGGTAGGTTACTGAAAGCAGTGAAGAGTTTTTACGAGGATAGTGAGGCTCAAGTTAGAGTATGTAGGAAAGGGAAATTATTTCCCAGTAAAAGTAGGCCTTAGACAAGGATGTGTGATGTCACCGTGGTGTTTAATATTTATAGATGGGGTTGTAAGAGAAGTAAATGCGAGGGTCTTGACAAGAGGCGTGGAGTTAAAAGATAAAGAATCACACACAAAGTGGGAGTTGTCACAGTGCTCTTTGCTGATGACACTGTGCTCTTGGGAGATTCTGAAGAGAAGTTGTAGAGATTGGTGGATGAATTTGGTAGGGTGTGCAAAAGAAGAAAATTAAAGGTGAATACAGGAAAGAGTAAGGTTATGAGGATAACAAAAAGATTAGGTGATGAAAGATTGAATATCAGATTGGAGGGAGAGAGTATGGAGGAGGTGAATGTATTCAGATATTTGGGAGTGGACGTGTCAGCGGATGGGTCTTTGAAAGATGAGGTGAATCATAGAATTGATGAGGGAAAAAGAGTGAGTGGTGGGACTTAGGAGTCTGTGGAGACAAAGAACTTTGTCCTTGGAGGCAAAGAGGGGAATGTATGAGAGTATAGTTTTACCAACGCTCTTATATGGGTGTGAAGCATGGGTGATGAATGTTGCAGCGAGGAGAAGGCTGGAGGCAGTGGAGATGTCATGTCTGAGGGCAATGTGTGGTGTGAATATAATGCAGAGAATTCGTAGTTTGGAAGTTAGGAGGAGGTGCGGGATTACCAAAACTGTTGTCCAGAGGGCTGAGGAAGGGTTGTTGAGGTGGTTCGGACATGTAGAGAGAATGGAGTGAAACAGAATGACTTCAAGAGTGTATCAGTCTGTAGTGGAAGGAAGGCGGGGTAGGGGTCGGCCTAGGAAAGGTTGGAGAGAGGGGGTAAAGGAGGTTTTGTGTGCGAGGGGCTTGGACTTCAGCATGTATGCATGAGCGTGTTTGATAGGAGTGAATGGAGACAAATGGTTTTTAATACTTGACGTGCTGTTGGAGTGTGAGCAAAGTAACATTTATGAAGGGGTTCAGGGAAACCGGCAGGCCGGACTTGAGTCCTGAGATGGGAAGTACAGTGCCTGCACTCTGAAGGAGGGGTGTTAATGTTGCAGTTTAAAAACTGTAGTGTAAAGCACCCTTCTGGCAAGACAGTGATGGAGTGAATGATGGTGAAAGTTTTTCTTTTTCGGGCCACCCTGCCTTGGTGGGAATCGGCCAGTGTGATAATAAAATAAAATACATAAGTCCGACTATATGAAAATAACCGGTTTCCCTGAATCCCTTCACTAAATATTACCCTGCTCACACTCCAACATATCGTCAGGTGCCAAGTATCATTCGTCTCCATTCACTCCTATCTAATACGCTCATGCACGCTTGCTGGAAGTCCAAGCCCCTCGCCCACAAAACCTCCTTTACCCCCCTCTTTCCAACCCTTTCGAGGACGACCCCTACCCCTCCTTCCTTCCCCTATAGATTTATATGCTTTCCATGTCGTTCTACTTTGATCCATTCTCTCTAAATGACCAAACCACCTCAACAACCCCTCTTCTGCCCTCTGACTAATGCTTTTATTAACTCCACACCTTCTCCTAATTTCCACACTCCGAATTTTCTGCATAATATTTACACCACACATTGCCCTTAGACAGGACATCTCCACTGCCACCAACCGTCTGCTCGCTGCTGCATTTACCACCCAAGCTTCACATCCATATAAGAGTGTTGGTACTACTATACTTTCATACATTCCCTTCTTTGCCTCCATAGATAACGTTTTTTGACTCCACATATACCTCAACCCACCACTCACCTTTTTTCCCTCATCAATTCTATGATTAACCTCATCCTTCATAAATCCATCCGCCGACACGTCAACTCCCAAGTATCTGAAAACATTCACTTCTTCCATACTCCTCCTCCCCAATTTGATATCCAATTTTTCTTTATCTAAATCATTTGATACCCTCATCACCTTACTCTTTTCTATGTTCACTTTCAACTTTCTACCTTTACACATTCTCAAACTCATCCACTAACTTTTGCAATTTTTCTTTAGAATCTCCCATAAGCACAGTATTATCAGCAAAAAGTAACTGTGTCAATTCCCATTTTGAATTTGATTCCCCATAATTTAACCCCACCCCTCTCCCGAACACCCTAGCATTTACTTCTTTTACAACCCCATCTATAAATATATTAAACAACCATGGTGACATTACACATCCCTGTCTAAGACCTACTTTTACCGGAAAGTATAAAAACTTCCCTACCTTTATCTAAATACTGTTCACATATATGCTTCAATGTAAACACTTGATCTACACATCCCCTACCCACTCTGAAGCCTCCCTGCTCATCCACAATCCTACATTCTGTCTTACCTCTAATTCTTTCAATTATAACCTTACCGTATACTTTTCCTGGTATACTCAGTAAACTAATCCTCTATAATTTTTACAATCTCTTTTGTCCCCTTTCCCTTTATATAAAGGGACTATACATGCTCTCTGCCAATCCCTAGGTACCTTCCCCTCTTTCATACATTTATTAAACAAAAGTACCAACCACTCCAACACTATATCCCCCCTGCTTTTAACATTTCTGTCATGATCCCATCAGTTCTAGCTGCTTTACCCCCTTTCATTCTACGTAATGCCTCACGTACCTCCACCACACTTACATTCTGCTCTTCTTCACTCCTAAAAGATTTTATACCTCCCTGGCCAGTGCATGAAATTACCGCCTCCCTTTCTTCCTCAACATTTAAAAGTTCCTCAAAATATTCTCGCCATCTACCTAATACCTCCCTTTCCCCATCTACTAATTCCCCTACTCTGTTTTTAACTGACAAATCCATACTTTCCCTAGGCTTTCTTAACTTGTTTCACTCCAAAATTTATTCTTATTTTCATTAAAATTTCTTGACAGTGCCTCTCCCACTCTATCATCTGCTCTCCTTTTGCACTCTCTCACCACTCTCTTCACCTTTCTCTTACTTATCTTTTACTTATCACATATCACAGATTAATGTATAGGACCATACTGCAAATGGTCTAAGAACGTGTAGTTTTTGCTATAAATAAACATGTAGAATAAGGACTATTTAATGGACGTTTTGTAACTTCACAAATTTTGGATTTTGAAAATGCTTAAAATATTTAATAATATTGTATGTCCTGCATGCACAGTTATTTATTTATTTTTTTACTAATCACTTTGGTGCAGATCACACCAACTCCTAGTGCAATGGAGGAGATTCGTCAAATGGCAGATAGAGATCCATTGACTGAGCTTCACGAGCAGGAACGGAAGTTATTATGGTCCCTGAGAAATGTTTGCCTTCAAGAACTACCGCATCTTCTCCCAAAGCTGTTGCAGTGTGTGGAATGGGATAATAAAACTGAGGTATGAGTATTAATGGAGAAGCACTAAACTCATGAGGGGGCTGAGACAAGAGACAGTTCTCTAATCATTCTGTATTCTCTGAAAATAGCAACACTGATATTGGTGTATAGAGAATCTGTTTATTTTCAACCAAAAACAAGTGAAAAATAAGTAAGGTTGTATGTGGTAATACAGTGCATTGATGGAAGGAGTGCTTGCTGGTGATATTATCCAGAATGAAAGATGGCACTTTGAGAGGAAAATAACTCAGTCGGGCCATTTAGTATACTGTCTGAACTTCACTTAAGGAAACACGGCGTCATGTTAAGTAAACCCATACAAAGAGGATGAAAACCTGTGCTGTACTTTTTCAGGCCTCATTTGAGGCTTGATAAAGCTCTGACGAGTGAAATGTAGCCTTAATAAAATATTCAAACATTCCCTATAAGTTCATTCACGTAAATTCCCACTTAGGTATACGTATTTGTCCAAACCTTGCAGGGTGTTCCACTCATCGATAACTATTGCCAAATCACTCCTTTTGTATTGAATTTTTAATTGAAAATTTATTCAATTTGAATCCATTGTTTCAAGTTCTATTTTGGGTAGAGATGTTCAGCACCTGTTTGCAACCCCTTTATTATATTCACGAATTAGAAATAAAAATGATAACACGTAAAGCATGAAGAGCCTCAAAATCGCCTGTTAACACATTAATATAAAACATTAATTTTTAGTATCTTGGAGTTTTTGCTCTATCATACAATGCTAAGACAGGTACAGTACCATAACTGGAATAATACACAAATAACTCACATATAGCGGATTGAAACTTAGGATGTTTTGGTCCCACTTGGACCATTACCTCTTCACACACACAAGCACAAAGGGAAGGAAGGATGGGAGAGGTAGAATGGGAGGAAGGAGTAGTAATATTGTAGTCGTGGTAGGTAGTAGTAGTAGTGGAACAGTGATAGATGAATAGAGTTTTGAAATAGAGCTCAGCCATATTATACTGGAAATTGCATTCTGCTGATGTGTGACATAACAGAACCCGAGTGTGCTTGTATTTTAAAAACCCTTTATTATTATTATTATTATTATTATTATTGATGTTGTTATCATCATACTGTAAGTGATGTAGTCATTATGTGCTCACAGTGAAAATCAAGAATTGCTTATGATACATACCTTATTAGAGTTTATTTGAAAAAATCCAGTTAATGTTTATCAACTAATTTTATATTTATATCTTAAATCTGTAAATATCTTAGGTAGCAGAAATGATATCTCTATTGGAAGTGTGGCCTAAGCTGTCGCCAGATCGAGCCCTTGAACTTCTAGATTATGCCTATGCTGAACCTGCTGTCAGAAGTTATGCCATAGAGTGCCTAGTACATATCAGGTAAGTGGGGAGAAATTACTGAAAACTGCATGACTACAAATACAAAAAATACCAAAGTGAAAATGTAGAAGAATAGAATTATCTGAATGTTTTCATTCATTTACACATACATTTTCAGAGGAACTAGATATATAAGATGTCATCACTGGCGAGACTGCTCGCCTGCACTCGGCTCAGCGTCGGGTCACCTGCACATAGGTCTGTCAGAAGAAATTTTCAAAGCAATAAAGTAGATGTAGAGGCATCGTCTCATGGGTGTCAGTGTTCCAAAAGAAGCATAATGAACACCTGTTAGTAAGAAGCGGGAACCCACGTGTAGACAGAAACGGGGAAAATAAAGTTTGTTGAATACGTTGACATCAATCTGATATTCTCTCTAGTAGATAAAAGTGCTGACACCTTCTTAGGTGACATAACTCTTCTCTGCCCCTGTGTAACTCTTGATTTCCTCTCTCCCTTGTATCTTATGATGAGGACCTCTTTTGGAGGTTGAAATATACAGAAAACTCTGTTTTCCTATTTCTGTCTATATGTGAGTTCCCACCTATCATTGGTAACCATTCATTACACTTCTTTTGGAACAATTGCACCCACAAGATAATGCCTCGACATCAACTATGCTGTTCTGGAAGAATTTCTTTTAATGACTCTAACATACAGGTGACCTGACACACTTGTGATGACATGTTCTTAGGTGATATGACCCTTTTCTGAGCTTATATAACCATAATTTCCCCTTTTTCCTTATATCTACTGATACGGACCTAAGTTAGAAACCAAATATACTGTAAACTATTTTCCTGTTACATTTTATTTGTGGGTTTCTGCTCTCATCAACAAGTGTTCATTACAGTGCTCAAACACTTCAATGTGGCAGTCCAGAGGGAAAATGCCTGTGCATCATTCGTTCCTGTCTAGCTTCTGAGAAGCTAGAGGAGAGAAATTAATTTCTTTCCCTAAAGACTTTTATTCTCTTCCTTGAGGCTGTGGGTTCCTAACATTACCAAAAGTGGTAGCACTATATATAAATCCTGTATATAAAATCATGTTATTTTTATTTATTTTATAATATATATTTATACTTTACACTTCATGGGTAATTATGTGTTCTATATTAATGGGCCATATATTATTTCAACAGTGATGATGACTTACTGTTATACTTGCTGCAGCTGGTTCAAGCTCTTAAACATGAAAATTATCTCTACTGTCATTTGGTGGAATTTCTGCTCAACCGTGCCTTGAGGAATATGCGCATTGGCCATTTCTTCTTTTGGCATCTCAGGTAATTTATTTGATCTGTATAGTATATATATATATATCTGAGCATGAAACATTTTATTTTTTCAATCACAAACTATCAAAGAAAAATAACTACCAGCTTTCTATATCTTTGTATATGTCAATACTTTGCCATTTCTAAAATCCTAGGCCAGCCACGACAATCTATGCTCATACTCATTTTGTTGATTATTTGCCTCTGCTGAATAGTTAAAATAACCCTTTAGCTCTTAATGCATGGGGATGTCTCATGTTGCCACTAGACATTTTCCAGATATTTTTTTTAACGCTTTCAAGGTCTGTGCTGTAGTATTTCAGGTTTGAGCTCTGCTCACTCAGATAAGCAGTGAGCGGTAAATTTGGGTCTTCATATGAGAGAACGGGTCCATGTGGTGAGTGTGCACCATGTAAAAAATCATGCCCCATGCAGTGCAAGATGGGGAAAAAACTGACCTTGTATTTGGTTTAAAATAAGAAATTTGCAGTGTATTTTCAGATGGTTTTTATGGTTGTATTCTTGATAGGAGTGAATGGAGACAAATGGTTTTAATACTTGACGTGCTGTTGGAGTGTGAGCAAAGTAACATTTATGAAGGGGTTCAGGGAAACCGGCAGGCCGGACTTGAGTCCTGGAGATGGGAAGTACAGTGCCTGCACTCTGAAGGAGGGGTGTTAATGTTGCAGTTTAAAAACTGTAGTGTAAAGCACCCTTCTGGCAAGACAGTGATGGAGTGAATGATGGTGAAAGTTTTTCTTTTTCGGGCCACCCTGCCTTGGTGGGAATCGGCCAGTGTGATAATAAGAAAAAATAATTCTTGGTTTCTTGGTATCATTTGATAGAATGGACAATATATTACAGAAATAGATATGATATTGATTGGTTTCAGGACTGAAAGTAGCTTGAAATTGAGCTCAAAGTAGTGGAACTGTTCAATTTTTGCTGATATTCCAGAGGACACAAATTATGTCACACACTCAATATGTGTTCAGTTGGTCTGTCTGATATGCATTCAGGAATATGCTGATGTTACTTATACAATTATTACACTAATGCAGTAGTTTGCATACTGGTAAATCTTCTATAGTTTGTGTTTACCTGGACCTGGAGAGAGTTCCGGGGGTCAATGCCCCCGCGGCCCGGTCTGTGACCAGGCCTCCTGGTGGATCAGAGCCTGGATGTGAATAAAAATTCAAAATGGAAAGCAAGTGTAACAAAGGAGAGGCTTGGGAACATAATGAACACAGGAAATGATGTTTTAATGGCAGGAGTGTGTACATTGTTTATTCTGGACCCTATTTTTAAATTGGCAGTTTTTTAATTGTGTGAAATTGGCCATATTACCAATTTCTGATCACTTATTGGATAATTGAAGTAGTTAAATAGGTGGTTTCTTGTGCTCACTTGATAGAATGGAAGGCATGCTAGTGAAATAGCTATGAATTTAATCGACTGGAGCAATGGAATTGGCCTAAAATAGGAATTGCAGTGGGTGAAATCGTTGATGCATAAATATTGTTGAGACGGCTAACTTTGTGAAAGCGTATTTCCATGAGGTTTCCATCAAATTTCGTACTTTTGGTGTAATTACCTTCGGAAAAAGATTATCATTTCTTTAGACTTTTTTTTTTTTAAATTCTTGGACCCTGAGAGCAATTCTAAGATTAAGGGTCTAGACCCTGAAATGGTTAAATTACCTGTTTAAATTCTGAGTATTTAACCCTTAAACTGTCCAAACATAGATATACGTTTGCCTTCGCAGCGCTCCGAATATTTTGAAAAATAATAAACTTTTTTTTTTTTTTTTTTTTAAATTGAAGAGCGCATTTTTATAAATGTTTTTTTTTTTTTTTTTATTATCACACTGGCCGATTCCCACCAAGGCAGGGTGGCCCGAAAAAGAAAAACTTTCACCATCATTCACTCCATCACTGTCTTGCCAGAAGGGTGCCTTACACTACAGTTTTTAAACTGCAACATTAACACCCCTCCTTCAGAGTGCAGGCACTGTACTTCCCATCTCCAGGACTCAAGTCCGGCCTGCCGGTTTCCCTAAACCCCTACATAAATGTTACTTTGCTCACACTCCAACAGCACGTCAAGTATTAAAAACCATTTGTCTCCATTCACTACTACCAAACACGCTCACGCATGCCTGCTGGAAGTCCAAGCCCCTCGCACACAAAACCTCCTTTACCCCCTCCCCCCAACCTTTCCTAGGCCGACCCCTACCCCGCCTTCCTTCCACTACAGACTGATACACTCTTGAAGTCATTCTGTTGCGCTCCATTCTCTCTACATGTCCGAACCACCTCAACAACCCTTCCTCAGCCCTCTGGGCAACAGTTTTGGTAATCCCGCACCTCCTCCTAACTTCCAAACTACGAATTCTCTGCATTATATTCACACCACACATTGCCCTCAGACATGACATCTCCACTGCCTCCAGCCTTCTCCTCGCTGCAACATTCATCACCCATGCTTCACACCCATATAAGAGTGTTGGTAAAACTATACTCTCATACATTCCCCTCTTTGCCTCCAAGGACAAAGTTCTTTGTCTCCACAGACTCCTAAGTGCACCACTCACCCTTTTCCCCTCATCAATTCTATGATTCACCTCATCCTTCATAGACCCATCCGCTGACACGTCCACTCCCAAATATCTGAATACATTCACCTCCTCCATACTCTCTCCCTCCAATCTGATATCCAATCTTTCATCACCTAATATTTTTGTTATCCTCATAACCTTACTCTTTCCTGTATTCACTTTTAATTTTCTTCTTTTGCACACCCTTCCAAATTCATCCACCAATCTCTGCAACTTCTCTTCAGAATCTCCCAAGAGCACATTGTCATCAGCAAAGAGCAACTGTGACAACTCCCACTTTATGTGTGATTCTTTATCTTTTAATAGGATATAATACGATAAAAAAAAATTTAGAGTCATTACTTACCGAGATATAAGCCTGCGAAGTTGGCACTAAATGATGAGGTGTCGGCAACGTGGAGCACTGCCACTTGCAGAAATAATGAACATTTATCGTTTTTTTTCGAATTCTTTTCTATTTTTTGTTGTATTCATGTTATGATGATAATGTTTTGTTGCAGATATTTTGATTTCATAGCCAATTCTTGTTGAGACACAAATGTTTGGTACTGAATTAGTAATCATACTGTCACAAACACACATGTTCACACTGATGAATGAATTTGTACACCTGGTTCAATCACATGCTATTGTTTACATACATACATATATACATACATGCATACATACATACATACATATCTCTTCTTTCATTCAGCACACCGGCCGTATCCCACCAAGGCAGGGTAGCCCAAAAGGAAAAACGAAAGTTTCTCCTTTTACATTTAGTAATATATACAGGAGAAAAGGTTACTAGCCCCTTGCTCCCGGCATTTTAGTCGCCTCTTACAACACGCATGGCTTACGGAGGAAGAATTCTGTTCCACTTCCCCATGGAGATAAGAGGAAATAAACAAGAATAAGAACTAGAAAGAAAATAGAAGAAAACCCAGAGGGGTGTGTATATATGTGCTTGTACATGTATGTGTAGTGTGACCTAAGTGTAAGTAGAAGTAGCAAGACGTACCTGAAATCTTGCATGTTCATGAGACAGAAAAAAGGACACCAGCAATCCTACCATCATGTAAAACAATTACAGGCTTTCGTTTTACACTCACTTGGCAGGACGGTAGTACCTCCCTGGGCGGTTGCTGTCTACCAACCTACTACCTATAATACATACATATATTTTTTTTTTTTTTTTTTTTTTTTCAACAAGTCGGCCGTCTCCCACCGAGGCAGGGTGACCCAAAAAAAAAGAAAGAAAATCCCCAAAAAGAAAATACTTTCATCATCATTCAACACTTTCACCACACTCACACATTATCACTGCTTTTGCAGAGGTGCTCAGAATACAACAGTTTAGAAGCATATACGTATAGAGATACACAACATATCCCTCCAAACTGCCAATATCCCAAACCCCTCCTTTAAAGTGCAGGCATTGTACTTCCCATTTCCAGGACTCAAGTCCGACTATATGAAAATAACCGGTTTCCCTGAATCCCTTCACTAAATATTACCCTGCTCACACTCCAACAGATCGTCAGGTCCCAAGTATCATTCGTCTCCATTCACTCCTATCTAACACGCCCACACATGCTTGCTGGAAGTCCAAGCCCCTCGCCCACAAAACCTCCTTTACCCCCTCTCTCCAACCCTTTCGAGGACGACCCCTACCCCTCCTTCCTTCCCTATAGATTTATATGCTTTCCATGTCATTCTACTTTGATCCATTCTCTCTAAATGACCAAACCACCTCAACAACCCCTCTTCTGCCCTCTGACTAATGCTTTTATTAACTCCACACCTTCTCCTAATTTTCCATACTCCGAATTTCGGGCATAATATTACACCACACATTGCCCTTAGACGGGACATCTCCACTGCCTCCAACCCTCCTCGCTGCTGCATTTACCACCCAAGCTTCACATCCATATAAGAGTGTGGGCCACTATACTTTCATACATTCCCTTCTTTTGCCTCCATAGATAGCGTTTTTTGACTCCACAATACCTCAACGCACCACTTACCTTTTTTCCCTCATCAATTCTATGATTAACCTCATCCTTCATAAACCATCCGCCGACACGTCAACTCCCAAGTATCTGAAAACTTTTTTTCACTTCTTCCATACTCCTCCTCCCCAATTTGATATCCAATTTTTTTTATCCAAAATCATTTGATATCCTCATCACCTTACTCTTTTCTATGTTCACTTTAAACTTTCTACCTTTACACACATTCTCCAAACTCGTACACAAACCCTTTTTGCAATTTTTCTTTAGAATCCCCCATAAGCACAGTATCATCACAACAAAAAGTAACTGTGTCAGTTCTCATTTGAATTTTGTTTCCCCCATAATTTAATCCCACCCTCTCCCGAACACCCTAGCTTTTACTTCTTTTAAAACCCCCATCTATAAATATATTAAACAAACCATGGTGACATTACACATCCCTGTCTAAGACCACTTTTACTGGAAGTATTCTCCCTCTCTTCTACACACCCTAACCTGAGCCTCACTATCCTCATAAAAGCTCTTTACAGTATTTAGTAACTTACCACCTATTCCATATACTTGCAACATCTGCCACATTGCTCCTCTATCCACTCTATTATATGCCTTTTCTAAATCCATAAATGCAATAAAAACTTGCCTACATTTATCTAAATACTGTTCACATATATGCTTCAATGTAAACACTTGATCTACACATCCCCTACCCACTCTGAAGCCTCCTGCTCATCTGCATCCTACATTCTGTCTTACCTCTAATTCTTTCAATTATAACCCTACCGTATACTTTTCCTGTATAACTCAGTAAACTTATTCCTCTATAATTTTTACAATCTCTTTTGTCCCCTTTCCCTTTATATAAAGGGACTATACATGCTCTCCGCCAATCCCTAGGTACCTTCCCCTCTTTCATACATTTATTAAACAAAGTACCAACCACTCCAAACACTATATCCTCCCCTGCTTTAACATTTCTGTCATGATCCCATCAGTTCCAGCTGCGTTACCCCCTTTCATTTTACGTAATGCCTCACGTACCTCCACCACACTTACATTCTGCTCTTCTTCGCTCCTAAAAGATGGTATACCTCCCTGGCCAGTGCATGAAATTACCGCCTCCCTTTCTTCGTCAACATTTAAAAGTTCCTCAAAATATTCTCGCCATCTACCTAATACCTCCCTCTCCCCATCTACTAACTCCCCTACTCTGTTTTTAACTGACAAATCCATACTTTCCCTATGCTTTCTTAACTTGTTTAACTCACTCCAAAATTTTTTCTTATTTTCATTAAAATTTCTTGACAGTGCCTCTCCCACTCTTTCATCTGCTCTCCTTTTGCACTCTCTTCACCTTTCTTTTGGTCTCCATATACTCTGCTCTTCTAATAACACTTCTGCTTTGTAAAAACCTCTCGTAAGCTACCTTTTTCTCTTTTATCACACCCTTTACTTCATCATTCCACCAATCACTCCTCTTTCCTCCTGCCCCCACCCTAGTATAACCACAAACTTCTGCCCCACATTCTAATACTGCATTTTTAAAACTATTCCAACCCTCTTCAACCCCCCCATCTTTGCTGGTGTCCTTTGTCTGTCTCATAAATATACAAGATTACATGTATGTCTTGCTACTTCTACTTACACTTAGGTCACACTACACATACATGTACACGTTTATTTATACACACTCATCTGAGTTTTCTTTGATTTTATCTTAATAGTTCTTGGTCTTATTACTTTTCCTTTTATATCCATGGGGAAGTGGAATAAGAATCTTTCCTCCGTAAGCCATGCGTGTTGTAAAAGTCAACTAAAATGCCGGGAACAATGGGCTAGTAACCCCTTTTTCTGTAAAGATTACTAAAAAGAATAAGAAGAAGAAAATTGTCAAAGTGGGAAGTCTGAATGTGCGTGGATGTTGTGCAAATGATAAGAAAGAGATGATTGTGGATGTTATGAATGAGAAGAAGCTGGATGTCCTGTCTTTAAGTGAAACAAAGCTGAAGGGGGTGGGAGAGTTTCAGTGGAGAGGAATAAATGGGATTAGGTCAGGGGTTTCAAATAGAGTTAGAGCTAAAAAAGGAGTAGCAATAATGTTGAAGGATAAGCTATGGCAGGAAAAGAGGGACTATAAATGTATTAATTCAAGGATTATGTGGAGTAAAATAAAGGTTGGATGTGAAAAGTGGGTTATAGTAAGCATATATGTGCCTGGAAAAGAGAGAAGTGTAGACGAGAGAGAGAGATTTTGGGAAATGTTGAGTGAATGCGTGGGGAGTTTTGAACCAAGTGCGAGAGTACTTGTGGTTGGGGATTTCAATGCTAAAGTGGGTAAAAATGTTATGGAGGGAATAGTAGGTAAATTTGGGGTGCCAGGGATAAATGTAAATGGGGAGCCTTTAATTGAGCTATGTGTAGAAAGAGATTTGGTAATAAGTAATACATATTTTATGAAAAAGAGGATAAATAAATATACAAGGTTTGATGTAGCACATAATGAAAGTAGTTTGTTAGATTATATATTGGTGGATAAAAGGTTGATGGGTAGGCTCCAGGATGTACATGTTTATAGAGGGGCAACTGATATATCGGATCATTATTTAGTTGTAGCTACAGTTAGAGTAAGAGGTAGATGGGACAAGAGGAGGGTGGCAACAACAAGTAAGAGAGAGGTGAAAGTGTATAAACTGAGGAGGAAGTTTGGGTGAGATATAAGCAACTATTGGCAGGAAGGTGGGCTAGTGCAAAGATGAGTAGTGGGGGGGGGTTGAAGAAGGTTGGAATAGTTTTAAAAATGCAGTATTAGAATGTGGGGCAGAAGTTTGTGGTATAGGAGGGTGGGGGCAGGAGAGAAAGAGAGAGTGATTGGTGAATGATGAAGTAAAGGGTGTGATAAAGGAGAAAAAGTTAGCTTATGAGAGGTTTTTACAAAGCAGAAGTGTTATAAGAAGAGCAGAGTATATGGAGAGTAAAAGTAAGGTGAAGAGAGTGGTGAGAGAGTGCAAAAAGAGAGCAGATGATAAAGTTGGAGAGGCACTGTCAAGAAATTTTGATGAAAATAAGAAAAAATTTTGGAGTGAGTTAAACAAGTTAATTAAGCCTAGGGAACATATGGATTTGTCAGTTAAAAACAGAGTAGGGGAGTTAGTAGATGGGGAGATGGGGTATTAGGTAGATGGTGAGAATATTTTGAGGAACTTTTAAATGTTGAGGAAGAAAGGGAGGCGGTAATTTCATGCACTGGCCAGGGAGGTATACCATCTTTTAGGAGTGAAGAAGAGCAGAATGTAAGTGTGGTGGAGATACGTGAGGCATTAGGTAGAATGAAAGGGGGTAAAGCAGCTGGAACTGATGGGATCATGACAGAAATGTTAAAAGCAGGGGGGATATAGTGTTGGAGTGATTTATAGTCTTCTTTTAGTAGACATTAAATTTTTTTTCATTATTACTATATTGAATGCTGCTTGCAGCCGCCATGATGAAGGCAAAGGTGGGGAAAGCAAGGGTATAGGCAGAGAGCAGAGAAGGGGTTGTTGAGGTGATTTGAGCATTTAGAGAAGATGGAGCTTACCAAGTGGAGGGGTAGGGATCACACCAGGAAAGGTTAGAGGGAGAGTTTGAAGGAGGTTTTAAATAGTAGGTGCTTGAGTATCCAGCAGGAATATTTGACCATCTTAAACTAGGGTGAGCGGAGTTTTGTACTGAAGAAAATTCAGCACATATTTTTATTTGAAACAGATCCGAGATGCACGTGCCCTCCGTTTCAATACGTTTTGGACTTATCCTGGAAGCCTATTGCCGTGGATCTGTAGAGCATATGAAAATTCTTCTTCGACAGTTAGATGCTCTCAATAAATTTAAAGGTAAGAAAACTATTTGAGTCTTATAATGTGAGAATGCAGAGAACACTGTTACTTTTATCCAAGTCTCTATTTTCTCTTCTCTTAAAGGCATTTGGAGAATACAGTGGACCCCTGGTTTACGATATTATTTCATTCCAGAAGTATGTTCAGGTGCCATTACTGAACGAATTTGTTCCCATAAGGAATATTGTGAATTAGATTAGTCCATTTCAGACCTCCAAACATACACGTACAAATGCACTTACATAAATACACTTACATAATTGGTTACATTGGGAGCTGATCGTAAAGCGGGGGTCCACTGTACAGTGGACCCTTGGGTAACGATTTTAATCCATTCCAGAGAGCTTGTCCTTAACCGATTTTATCGTTAGCTGAATTAGTTTTCCCCATAAGAAATAATGGAAATCCAATTAATCCATTCCAGACACCCAAAAGTATTAAAAAAAAAATTTTTTTACGTGAAATATACATTTTCCTACACAGAAAACAATGAGACATGAAGAATAAATACATGAAGAATAAATGACACTTACCTTTATTGAAGATTTATTGATGAGTGATGAGATGGAGGAGGGGAGATGGAGGTGTATTATTGTTTGGAAGGGGAATCCCCTTCCATAAGGACTTGAGGTAGCAAGTCCTTTTCCAGGGTTACTTCCCTTCTTTGTTTTTTAATGCCACTGGGAACAACTTGACAGTCACTGGACCTCTGTCGCACCAAAAATCTGTCCATAGAGCTGTTTCTGGTGTTCCTTTAAGATTTCCCTAAAATGGGACACAACATTGTCATTGTAAAAGTCACCAGCATGGCTTGCAACATCTGTGTCAGGGTGATGTTCATCCATAAAGGCTTGCACCTTTGTCCACATTGTACAAATGTCCTTAATCGTTGAAGAAGGCAACTTCCCCCATCCCTCTCTCCTCTGAAGCAATTTCCTCAGATGTGGTCTCTTGCTGTTGCAGATGCTCTTGCAGCTCATCAGTGGTTAGCTCTTCATTGTCGTCCTCCACCAACTCTTCCACATCCTCACCACTAACCTCCAACCCCATGGACTTCCCCAATGACACAGTAGATTCCACAACTGGTATAGGCTCCTCAGGGTTAGCCCCAAACCCTTCAAAATCCCTCTTGTACACATTTTGGCCACAATTTCCTCCAAGCAGAGTTCAAAGTCCTGCAAGTCACTCCCTCCCAAGCCTTACCTATAAGGTTTATGCAACTGAGGATACTGAGGTGATCTTTCCAAAACTCTCATAGGGTCAGTTCAGTGTCTGAGGTCACTTCAAAGCACTTGAAACACTGCTTTGGTGTACAGTTTTTTGAAATTTGAAATGACCTGCTGGTCCATGGGCTGGAGGAGATGAGTGGTGTTAGGAGGCAAAAACCTGACTTTTATGAAACTCAACTCCCCTGCAATTCGCTCTTGCAAGTCTGGAGGATGAGTCTGATACCAGGAGGCACTTGAGGTCCAATTTATTTTCCAGGAGGTATTTTTTCACAATGGGGCCAAACACATGATAGAACCAATCATGGAAAATGTCCCTAGTGACCTATGCCATACTGTTTGCCTTCCACATCACACACAAATTAGCCTTGACGACACTGTTTTTCTTGAACACGCTGGGAGTTTGAGTAATACATGAGTAAAGGCTTCACTTTGCAATCCCCATTAGCATTACTACAAAACATGAGAGTTAGCCTGTCTTTCATAGGCTTGTGTCCTGGGAGTGCCTTTTCCTCCTGAGTAATGTAGGTCCTGTTTGGCATTTTCTTCTAAAGCAGGCCTGTTTTGTCACAGTTGAACTCTTGTTGGGGTTTTAATTTTTCAGCCTGTATGTACTCCTTAAAGTCTTGCACATATTTTTCAGCCACTTTTTGGTCAGAACTGGCAGCCTCACCATGCCTTATCACACTGTGTATGCCACTACAATTCTTAAATCTCTCAAACCAACCTTTGCTGGCCTTAAATTCACTAACATCAGCACTAGTTCCAGGCATTTTCTTAGTGAGATCCGCATGCAACTGCCTTGCCTTTTCGCATATGATTGACTGTGAAACACTATCTCCTGATAATTGTTTGTCATTGATCTACACCAATAAGAGTCTCTCCACATCTTCGAGTATTTGCGATCTCTGTTTTGTAGCATACTTGCACCTTTCACAACAGCAGCTTCCTTGATGAAATTAAGACACATGTGCAACATCTGGGTATTTTTATTGTAGATGTTTCGCCATCCAGTGGCTTTATCAATACAAATTCCAGGACATAACTTGAAGACAGTAGGACTATATACAGAAGATGAGGTAATCAGTCCCTCAACCTAGCAGTAGGTGTGAAGAGCACCATAGTCATGGAGATTCTGAAGCAGAAGCAAGGAGCCTGGCGCTTATATACTAACATCAGGTCAGGTGTAGCAGATGAAGGCATAGTCACTGGTAGGCGGGATTCCCCAGTGGAAGTAGGTCTTTCCCAAAGAGATGGGTTAGTTGTAGTAGTAGTTGTCGAAGTCGTGAAGGTTATGTACATGTCCTCAGAATCAAGATTCCATGATGTTGCAGTGTCTGACAAGTTGTGCATAACCAAGTTGTACATAACCTTCACGACTTCGACATCTACTACTACAACTAACCCATCTCTTTGGGAAGGACCTACTTCCACTGGGGAATCCCGCCTACCAGTGACTATGCCTTCATCTGCTACACCTGACCTGATGTTAGTATATAAGCGCCAGGCTCCTTGCTTCTGCTTCAGAATCTCCACGACTATGGTGCTCTTCGCACCTACTGCTAGTTTGAGGGACTGATTACCTCTATCTTCTGTATATAGTCCTACTGTCTTCAAGTTATGTCCTGGAATTTGTATTGATAAAGCCACTGGATGGCAAAACATCTACAATAAAGATACCCAGATGTTGCACATGTGTCTTAATTTCATCTTGTCGGTATTATATACCATTCTTGCACAACAGCTTCCTTGATTGCCTTTCTGTTGGCCAAGATAGTAGCGATGGTTGATTGGGGGTTTGTTATACAACCGGGCCAGCTCGTAGGCACTCACTCCACTTTCATACTTTGCGATTATCTCTTTCTTCAATTCATTAGCATTTCTCACCCTTTTTACCACAGGGTTGGCACTAAAAGCTTAATTTGGGCCCATAGTGGCTTATTTAGCAGTTAAAAGCACTAAAAACAATGGAATAATACAAAATGTATCACATGTATGCGTGGAACTGCCTGCACCGGCTTGTAAACAATGGCACACTGGCTGTACGTAGTGGCTGGGCAGCCGCAGGTGGCCCAGGCCGTGTGGACACATTCAGGACGAATGTCTTTAACTGAGTTTTTCATCGTTGGCCTAGCCAATATTTTTATGCAAAAATGCATCAGTATCCGATTTTATCTCTATCCGATGGCATCGTTACCCGAGGATCCACTCTACCTGTGATCATAAAGTTTAAGCCAGTCTCTGAATGACATCAGATGACCTAAAATTTGCCCAGGGCTAACAAATTTGTTCAAATTTTTTATGATTAAAACAAAAACAGTTTTACTATTTGTAGAGAAATGCTGGAATTCTATTCATCTATTTGACAAGTGTGTGAATAACTTTAGCATGAAAGTTAGTCTGAATGTGTTTTATAATAGTGTTATACAGGGTTAAGGACTGGAAATGCCCAATGACTAAATGCTAGTGGATTCATTTTAAAAGTACCATATACCAAAAAAATCTCTGAAAAGACCATACTTTATTGGAATGCTGTATCTCAAATTTGTTTTATTTCTTATTTATAAGGTTATAACATGCTTATGATCTCTGATTTTAATTTTTATTGTTTTTCTTGCATTTCAGAGGTGAGAGGGATAGTAACTGAAAATCGTGCAGTACGAGATAGAGCAGAGAAGCTTATGAAAGACCACATGAAAAAACCACACACTAGAGCAGCCTTGTCTCATTTTCTCAGCCCGATTGATCCTATGTACAGGATCAGCACAATTAAGTAAGTGTTTGTATACATCTTTAATACATGTGTATGTGATTACTTATACTATTTGTAGCTACATGAGTAGAACTACTCTAGGTAGTAGGTTGGTAGACAGTAACTGCCCAAGGAGATACTATCATCCTCTGAAGTGAGTCTAAAACGAAAGCCAGTAATTGTCTTACATGATGGTAGGATTGCTGGTGTCTTTTTTCTGCTTCACAAACATGCAAGATTTCAGGCACATCTTGCTACTTCTACTTACACTAAGTCACACTACACATGCATATACAGTGGACCCCCGCTTAACGATCACCTCCCAATGCGACTAATTATGTAAGTGTATTTATTTAAGTGCGTTTGTACGTGTATGTTTGGGGGTCTGAAATGGACTAATCTACTTCACAATATTCCTTATGGGAACAAATTTGGTCAGTACTCGCACCTGAACATTCTTCTGGAATGAGAAAATATTGTTAACCGGGGGTCCACTGTACAAGCATATACATATACATATATATATATATGAATATATATTTTCATATAGTCGGACTTGAGTCCTGGAAATGGGAAGTACAATGCCTGCACTTTAAAGGAGGGGTTTGGGATATTGGCAGTTTGGAGGGATGTGTTGTGTATCTCTATACGTATATGCTTCTAAACTGTTATATTCTGAGCACCTCTGCAAAAGCAGTGATAATGTGTGAGTGTGGTGAAAGTGTTGAATGATGATGAAAGTATTTTCTTTTTGGGGATTTTCTTTCTTTTTTTTTTGGGGCACCCGCCTCGGTGGGAGACGACCGACTTGTTGAAAAAAAAAAAAAAAAAATATATATATATATATGTGTGTACCTGCCCTTCTGGGTTTTCTTCTATTTTCTTACTAGTTCTTGTTTGTTTTCTCTTATCTCCATGAGGAAGTGGAACGGAATTCTTTCTCCGTAAGCCATCCATGCGTGTCATAAGAGAGGACTAAAATGCCAGGAGCAAGGGGCTAGTAACATAAGAAAGGAGGAATACTGCAGCAGGCCTGTTGGCCCCATGCTAGGCAGGTCCTTTACAATTCTTCCCACTAACAAAATATTTGCCCAACCCAATTTTCAATGCTACCCAAGAAAAAAGTTTTGATGATTCTATTTACTCATTATGCAAGTCTCACTCAAATCCAACCCCTCTCACTCATGTATTTTTTTTCAACAAGTCGGCCGTCTCCCACCGAGGCAGGGTGACCCAAAAAAGAAAGAAAATCCCCAAAAAGAAAATACTTTCATCATCATTCAACACTTTCACCACACTCACACATTATCACTGTTTTTGCAGAGGTGCTCAGAATACAACAGTTTAGAAGCATATACGTATAAAGATACACAACATATCCCCCCAAACTGCCAATATCCCAAACCCCTCCTTTAAAGTGCAGGCATTGTACTTCCCATTTCCAGGACTCAAGTCCGACTATATGAAAATAACCGGTTTCCCTGAATCCTTTCACTAAATATTACCCTGCTCACACTCCAACAGATCGTCAGGTCCCAAGTATCATTTGTCTCCATTCACTCCTATCTAACACGCCCACGCACGCTTGCTGGAAGTCCAAGCCCCTCGCCCACAAAACCTCCTTTACCCCCTCTCTCCAACCCTTTCGAGGACGACCCCTACCCCTCCTTCCTTCCCCTATAGATTTATATGCTTTCCATGTCATTCTACTTTGATCCATTCTCTCTAAATGACCAAACCACCTCAACAACCCCTCTTCTGCCCTCTGACTAATGCTTTTATTAACTCCACACCTTCTCCTAATTTCCATACTCTGAATTTTCTGCATAATATTTACACCACACATTGCCCTTAGACAGGACATCTCCACTGCCTCCAACCGTCTCCTCGCTGCTGCATTTACCACCCAAGCTTCACATCCATATAAGAGTGTTGGTGCCACTATACTTTCATACATTCCCTTCTTTGCCTCCATAGATAGCGTTTTTTGACTCCACATATACCTCAACGCACCACTCACCTTTTTTCCCTCATCAATTCTATGATTAACCTCATCCTTCATAAATCCATCCGCCGACACGTCAACTCCCAAGTATCTGAAAACATTCACTTCTTCCATACTCCTCCTCCCCAATTTGATATCCAATTTTTCTTTATCTAAATCATTTGATACCCTCATCACCTTACTCTTTTCTATGTTCATTTTCAACTTTCTACCTCATGTATTTATCTAACCTAAATTTGAAACTACCCAATGTTTTAGCTTCAATAACCCTGCTAGGCAGACTGTTCCACTCATCAACTACCCTATTTCCAAACCAATACTTTCCTATACCCTTTCAAAATCTAAACTTATCTAATTTGAATTCATTATTGCGGGTTCTTTCTTGAAGGGATATCCTCAAAACCTTATTTATATCCCCTTTGTTAATTCCCATCTTCCACTTATACACTTTGATCATTTCTCTCTTCATTCTTTGTCTTACAAGTGAATGTAGTTTAAGAGTCTTCAATCGTTCTTTGTACAGAAGATTTCTAATGCTATGTATTAATTTGGTCATTCTACGCTGGATGTTTTCTAGCGAATTATATCCATTCTGTAATATGGAGACCAGAACTGAGCTGCGTAATCTAGGTGAGACCTTACTAATGATGTATAAAGCTGTAAAATAACCGCTGGACTTCTGTTGCTTACACTTCTAGATATAAATCCCAGTAATCTGTTTGCTTTGTTACGTACGTTTAGGCACTGCTGTCTTGGTTTAAGATTGCTGCTTACCATAACCCCCAAGTCCTTCTCGCAATCTGTATGGCTAAATTCTATGTTATGTAACTGATAATTACTAGGATTATAGGCACTCCAGAATTTCAGAACCTTGCATTTATCTACATTGAGCTGCATCTGCCACTTTTCTGATCAGGAATTGAGTTTGTCTAAATCCTCCTGAAGTTCCATGACATCTACGTTTGAATCAATTATCCTACCTATCTTTGTGTCATCGGCGAATTTGCTCATATCACTAGTAATTCCCTCATCAAGGTCATTGATATGTATTATAAACAACAACGGGCCCAAGATTGATCCCTGTGGAACGCCACTTGTTACAGATCCCGACTCGGATTTAACCCCATTTAAGCATACTTTCTGCTTCCTATTGGTGAGTCATGACTCTATCCATGACAGCACTTTTTCCCCAGTGCCATGAGCTGCCACTTTCTTTAACAGCCTCTGGTGCGGTACTCTATCAGAAGCCTTACTAAAATCTAAATAAACAATATCGAACTCTTCATCATGGTCAACGGCCTCAAAAGCTTTACTGAAGAATGTTAATAACTTAGTTAGGCAGGAATGACCCCTTGTGAATTCATGCTGAGTACCATTAATCAAGCTATGCTTATCAAGATTGCTTCTTATAATATCAGCTATAATTGACTCTAGTAATTTGCCTACAATTGAGATTAGGCTTATTGGGCAGTAATTTGACCCCCCCCCCCCCTGCTTTAAAAATAGGATTTACATTAGCCATCTTCCACATATCAGACACTACACCTGTTTGAAGAGAAATATTAAAAATATTAGTCAGTGGTTCACAAAGTTTCATTTTACACTCTTTAAATATCTTTGAAAAAAGTTCATCAGGGCCTGAGGATTGATTTTGCTTTAATCGGTCTATCTGTTTGATAACCATTTCGTTAGTGACTATGATATTGCATAATTTGTCATCTTCAGGCCTACTATAAAAATTTATTACTGGGATATTGTTTGTGTCTTCCCAAATGAAAACCGAGAGAAAATAATTATTAAGAATAGAGCACATTTCATTCTCCTTGTCAGTAAGATGCCCATAGTTAATTTTAAGGGGACCAATCTTATCTCAAACTTTTGTTCTATAAACCTGGAAAAAACGTTTTGGGTTAGTTTTTGAATCCCTAGCAACTTTAATTTCATACTCCCGTTTAGCTTTTCTTATCCCCTTTTTAACATCCCTCTTAATGTCAATATACTGATTCATAAGATGACCCTCACATCTTTTGATGTGCCTATAAATTTCTTTTTTCTGTCCTAAAAGATATTTGAGCCTATTATTCATCCATTTTGGGTCATTTCTATTCGATCTAATTTCCTTATATGGGATAAATGTCCTTTGGGCAGCATGTATTGTGTTAAGAAAGCTGTCATACTGATAGCTCTCTTTGTTACCCCAGTCCACAGATAATAAGTGTTCTCTAAGCCCATTGTAATCTGCTAAGCAAAAATCTGGGACCATTACTGAATTATCCCTACTATAATACTTCCATTCAATTTCTTCTTTCTTTCAACACACCGGCCGTATCCCACCAAGGCAGGGTGGCCCAAAAAGAAAAACGAAAGTTTCTCTTTTAAATTTAGTAATTTATACGGGTGAAGGGGTTACTAGCCCCTTGCTCCCGGCATTTTAGTCGCCTCTTACAACACGCATGGCTTACGGAGGAAGAATTCTGTTCCACTTCCCCATGGAGACTTACATTCAATACTAAAGGTAATTGATTTATGATCACTTGTGCTGAGTTCCTCTGTAATTTCTAAATTATTAACAAGGGTTTCCTTGTTTGCCAAAACCAAGTTAAGCTGGTTATTTTCCCTTGTAGGCTCTGTTACAAACTGCTTCAAAAAACAATGCTGAACTACTTCTAAGAAGTCGTTTGATTCTAAATTCCCAGTCAAGAAATTCCAATCAGTATGACTAAAGTTAAAGTCTCCTAGAATTACTACGTTATCATGCCTTGTGGCCTCAACAATTTCCTCCCATAGTAGTCTCCCTTGGTCCCTATCTAAGTTTGGGGGACGGTATATCACACCTAAAATCAATTTTTCATGCCCCTCTGAAAATTCTGTCCAAACAGGCACTGTATGTGTTACTTCAGACTTAATACCCATTTTTATGCAACAGTTCAAGCAGTCTTGGACATACCATGCCACCCCAGCCCCCTTCCTGATACTTCTATCTACTTGGAACAATTTAAAACCCTGAATGTGACAT